AATCAGGTGTGTCTATGGTGGGAGGACTTCTGTACTGGAGGCACCCTTATGGGGCAAGATTTGCTTCAGTGGGCCTTTGGTTCTCACTGAGTCTGACCCCTGAGTGTGTCCCTTATGGATCTGAGGAGCTGCAATCTGGATGGTCCCACTCCGACCACTGGGTTCACTGGCTCTTGGATCTCTAAGGAGGTGCTAATTTAGCCTCTTCCTGAGGCTACCCAGCAGGAACCCAGCTGTGAAGCAATGCAAGCTGCTGTGGGGCCTTGGGCCTTCTTTTGGAATTTCTGGGTTTCTCTGACCCAGCTGCAGTTAGGTAATTTTCAGATTGCAAAGGGCCAGGCCTTTCATATGCAAAAGCCTCTGTGCACAGCTTGGGTGAGGCTGGGTCTCTGGGGATATACAGGGCAGAGCAAGCAGCTATTGCTGCTCCTTAGTCCTACCCTAAGAGGCCCTGCTTCTCAGTGTCCCGGAAATCACTGCAAGTACCTCTGAGAGAAAGTTGCCCTTGAGCTCTGATCAATGCCAGACAGTCCAGTTTCTCCTGTATGAGTCTGGGTCCCCAGAGACTCACCCAGAACTGGAGTTCACAGCAGTCAGGAGCTTGAGACTCCCTCCTGATTGAAAAAGACAACCGTGTCCTCAGCTGCCAGCCCTTTCCGCGTGTGCCTCCGTACCTCTGCACTTTACTTCCGCACCTCCTCTGAGTCTCAGTGTGCTTTTCTCTCTCCTTCTAGTTGTAGAATTTCCACTCAGCCAGCCTTCCTGTGGTTCTGGATGATGTCTGTTTTATCTTTTAGTTGTATTTTTGAAGTGGTTGTGTGAGGCAGCAATTTCTGGTGTTTACCTATGCCTCCATCTTGGTTTTTGTGTTAGAATTCTTTATCTACAGACTATTTAGTGACACAATTCTATGCTTCTTAAACTAGTTCCAGATGTACTTGGCAAGGTAAGTATACTCTAGGCCAGGAGAATGACTATAATATTTCTCAAGCATTTCAATTTTACTCAAAGTAAAAAATAACATCATCTTAAAACAAATATACTGACCAACAAGGGCTAAGATACAGTTTCTATTCTTGAAATTAAAGATATTTAATGCAAATGTTTTATAAGTATTGATCTAATTAATGTTTGTAATGTGTTTCAGTATGATATTTCATTGTCATTTTACTAGTATTACAAGAAAAACAGTACTTTATTAAATTAATATTTGGAGTTGTTTTGGAAAGTGGGAAAAGATAAAATAAGTAGTTCATCAGGTTAGGTGCTTTCCCAAATTGATCTATTTATGATTCACATTTGAAAACTTCCAACCAAGCAAAAACTTTCTGCTGACTGGGCTGGTCCAATGGAGCTTGTATTATAGGGTACTAGCATCAAGTCATGGAGAAAAAATAAATCAAAATTTAAACTTCTTTTTACAACTATTTCACATTTGAACTAATTTGGATGGTCAGAATAGAAATTAATGGCTAAATATTTCTCATATTTCTATAATCTATTACTTAGACATCAAAGTTCAGAAGTAATAGGGTTATTGGAGATAACTGCAAAAACCCAGATTGTTGTTGAATTCTATTTAGTGGAGGAAATTATTAAATTATTTCACAAATCTAAGTCAAATAATTTCTGGAAAAGAAATGGAAATAATGAACTAAATAAATCAAAACTGATAAAAATCATAATTTAAAAAAATCAAGTCAATTTTTATTTATTCATGTGAAAAGAAGTCAGAAAATATTATTGGAAAAAGAAACAGGGTATGACTCAGAATGTGAAAATACATAGTGATACGAAATTATATCTATACAGGCAAAGAAAGATGTCTGGAAGGATGTTCAACAAAATGTTAATAGTTATTTCTATTGATGGGATTTTGAGTGGTTTATATTTTTTTAATTAAATTTATTGGGGTGACATTGGTTAATAAAATCATACAGGTTTCAAGTTTACAACTAAAAAAAAAGGAATGAAAAAGAAATCATCTGCACACTGCATTGTGCACTTTTCACCCAGAGTCAAGTCTCTTTCCATCCCCATTTATCCCTCCTTTGCTCACTTTTGAGACAAAAGTAAACAATATTTGGGAAAAAAACAGATAACATGAATTTTGTCCTCAGATTGCACAATGATTCTGGAATATTTGCT